GACAACTTAGTATGTTTTTAATTGGATAGAATTTTTTTAGTCTGATCTAGTATAGTTTGGTAGATGTCTCTTCTATTGTATTTTACAACTCTCGAAGTTTGGTCCAGTCCGATCTAGTTTGGTGTGTTCAAGTCTTATTTGGTCTGGCCTGTTTAAATCTAGTTTGTTTTGGACTAGAACTAGTCCAATTAAAAACATTATTAGTCACTATCCTTGTTAAAATCAACATTTTTGTACACAAGGCTTCTTAGAAAAAGAGGGATTCTATGCAATAAAATAATTTCGGGTCATTTGAATGCACGCAAAGTATATTATAAGTCAAATTAATAAATTACGGAGTATTAGTCATTCTGATCCTACGTAATTAATAAGTAAATGAAATGGTAAGGACTAAATAAATTAATAAAAAGCTACTGTTGCCTCATTTAGTAAGTGTCAATTAAACTCTAGTTGGCGAGGCTTATTAAGGTGAAGAACTCTCTATAATTTGTGAGGGCTAACAAGTTGAATGTAATTAGACATTGCAAGTCTAGAACTAATTAGACTTTACACTAAGTACTTCAAAAGTTATTAGCGAACGTCTTAGGGCGTAAGGCGGTGGGTATTGCAAGTTTGCAAATAGAGCCTAATGGTAAAGCTATTAGACAATTAGACAATATCCGATTTAGTCCCATAATATTAATTTGGTAAGCATTGTTCTTTAACTTTCATTTTTTTATCAAATTTAGTCCTCCTTTGATTTCATCTGTATTCTCTTCATCGAGTACAAGTTGAGACTGTTCATATACCATTTGAGGTCATATTTATAGTCACAATTGCAAAGTATGAGAATCTCAATTAATTGTGAAGATAAAAATTACTCATTCTCACCTAATTTCATGTCTTGCCGTTACTAGATTCATTTCAATATATGTGTAATAGATTATAGGAGAGTGATAACAGTGAAGGATACGACCTTCAGCCGCATTATAAATTGATTGGATTGTATTTTATTTGAGAAAAAGATGGAAAGAATTAATAGATGATTAAACTTGTTAAATAAGTTAAAGTTGGGAACCAAAACTAGCCAAATTAATAGTCTAGGATTAAGTTAGAGTATTGCCTCAAATCTCAATAGGGGAGGACTGTTTCTGGTGGTATGTCTTTGTCATTCAAAGTAACATAATTATAGCTGCACTATATCTTTGTATTGTTAATCATAAAAGGCTTCAAAGTGATTATTTTTGGTTTGTATATTTCGCTTGTGCAGATTTTGACTGTTTGTGTGGTGCAATAGCGTGTGAGTAGAATTGGAGTGAAAATGGGTGATGAAATAAATGCTAAAGTTCGAATTGTGAGATGCCCCAAATGCTTACAGGTTCTTCAAGAGCCTTCTGATATTCCTGTCTACAAATGTGGAGGGTGTAGCACAGTTCTTCAAGGTGCTTAATCTCTTCTTTCTTTTACTTTTTTGCTTTCCTTTTGGATAACAATATTATTGTTTCAAGCCACAAGACCCGAGAAATAAGGTGTGGGGATTGGACATAGTTTTTATGTGTAACCAATTGCTATGCCATGAAACATTAGGCATGTTTTCTTAAGTCCGCTCTAGTCTGGTGTAAACTGATCTTGCCTGAGAAGGTCTGTATTACGTATATTTTACTGATGTTTATAGGTCTGGCAACTGAAATTTGCTTATTACAATATATTTTCTTCCTCATCAATTTCACCAGACACCGTCCTTATAAAACTTATTTATTTCCAAATGAGGATAGTAAAGTAAATCCATAACCCTTTTTTATTTTCCAATTTAATTCTTTTATATCATCATTTCCAGATTTCCAAGAAAGGCGTAATTCATTAATTAACTTCAGAAGGATCCCTCCTTGAACTTTACTGATTAGATATACCCATTGGACAAAATTGCTACTAAAGGAGTCACAAACATTTATTAATTTATGCATATAGTTTACGCAATTTAAACACTAATTGTGAATTTATGATTTGCAGAGCTGATAGCCCTTTTCTCCATGTGATCTTAACTCAAAACTGTTTTCATGCAGCAAAGAAAAGAAAAAATCATAATACAAATCTTGAGCCCTGCACTGGTGAAACAACTCCTGTAAAAAATGAACAGCCTCAGAATTCAGTGGAAAAAGAACTCAACGGACCCCAACAAGAAGCTACTATCTCCCCCCATGGAGACACTTTGAAGGGTAACATCATCAAAACAAATGAAGACAGATTCGGAAACTACAGCAGGGAACAGCATGGAGATGAAAATTCCCGCTGTGATGAGCTGTCAAGCATTAGAGAACCGTTTGAGCAGAGTGGAGATGAATCCCATTTGAGTCCATCTTTGGATTCCTCCAGCAAGTTAACAGGAGAAACAGAACTTAAGCTAAAAAGTCATGAAACTTCATTACCGTTTTGCCCCCCAGCAGTGGGTGAGGGTGTGGGAGATGATATTGGAGCTTGTCAGCTCGAGAGCCCCGAATCGCAAGTGTGTACAGAAGCAGCAAATCAAAGCCCCATAAATGATAGCATTTCCTCAGAGAATGTCACGCCTAGTCATCATCGAATAAATCCCGGTAAGGAAATTTCCCCGGGTTTTGACAGAGGCTATTACGCTTATTATGGTAGCGCATCATCTTGTGATGGTGATGATGAAACTAACACTGTGGAGAGATATTCGCAACACTATGGGCAGAGATTAGTCAATAGGAGGCGGTTGGGTGATAAGGACGATGAATATGTCGATAAAGTTCCACTTCTTACTAATTGCCATGGAAGCCCTTCGACTTATAAGAAATCAGACTTTATTCCATCAAGCAGCATAGTCACTGGTCCAGAACGTGACAGGATAGAACTCTTAAAGACAATCCATGAACTTGAAGACCAGATCCAAAAAATGCGTCTCCAAACAAGGGAGGATGAAACTGGCAATATGGAGAGATATTTGCAAGAAAACGGACAGAGAGTACCACATGCCACAGGAAACAGGAGGTGGTTAGATGATAGGGATGAGTATGTCAAAAAAGATCCGTTTTTTATGAATTCAATGAATTGCCATGGAAGCCCTTCAACTCGCAGAATATCAGACTTAAACCCATCCAGCAGCATGGTCACAGATATAGAACCTGACAGGATAGAACTCTTGAACAAGATGATCTATGAACTTGAACAACAAATCCATAAGATTCATCTCCGGCATGGAAACCCTAACAATATGTTTCATTCAACACCAGCTCAAATGTCAAAAGTACCCTTTTCTGGAGAGGTTTCACATTGTCTCCCTTGTTCGCATTGCTGCCCGCCATCTCCAGTCTGGCATTGGTCAGGGCAGCTGCCCCGAGGTTGCATTTCTGGTGATACCCTTTGTTCTCCTAGTCCCCGACGTTCCTCTGTGAATGACCATAAGAAAGTCCACTTGAGGGAGATGTATGCTAAGAGGTGTCATTTTCTTCCGGTAGCTGGTGGGGCTCCCATCATCGCATGCTATTACTGCTCAAAGTTGTTACGGATTCCAGCAGATTTTGGTCTCTTTAGAAGAAGGTTCCATCGACTGAGGTGCAATGTGTGTAAGAATATTTTGAAATTTTTGGTTCAGGACGGGAAACACGTGATTCCTTACTTTGCTGAGGTTGTAGCGCCTCCACCCAGTGAGGATGATGACTCCAGCACCACAATTGATGAGACCTTTGAATCTGCACGGCGGTCATTCAAAAAATCCTTGGGGAGAAAATCGTCTTCAGGAAGTGATGAAGAAGGGGAGTTGGATAGAACGAGCTCCCCGCTTCATCGGCTCATGGGATACTCCTCCGTGAGCCAAGTGGTGAATCGCTAAGATATATTCTGGTCTCTCTAGTGTTCTGTTTGGCTGGAAGGTTTTGGATGGATGATTAGTATATATCTTATAGATATAAAGACTTTAAAAATGATTAAAAAGTACGGAGTGATTCAGTTTTTCTAAATAAAACCACACACCCATAATTATATATCAAGATATATCCCCCTCAAGGAGTTTGGCCTTATGTTATTCTTTCCATTATTTTTATAAAATCTCAAATGTATGTCAAGATGTATACTAATTCTTTCATAGTATTTTCGTCCATCCAAACAGACAGAAAGAAACCAAAAGGCCAACATATAGTGGAAGTTTTATTTGGGATCTTGATGAAGTTTCCTGATTACATTTTGAATTTATTCAGAAATCTTCAATGTTCTGTACAGATTCCGAAGGAGATGCTGCAAGTTTTGTAAAGTATAAGTTAAAAGGCGTCTTTTGCTTTCCCACAAACCTTGAAAGTTTGAGTTTCTATTCAAGATGTCTGAATGTTTGATGCTTCTGTAATTGAGTACAAATGAGTTCCACTAAAGTTCTCATGAGTGGAATAATACGAGATAACCTTGGAATTCATTCAATTGAATAAAACTTTGTTTGGTATGTGGAATTTGAGTTTTAATGTGTTTCTTACAGTACTACCTGTAAAAACAGTCTCTAACTTGCAACTGTGCAAGGTTTCCCCTTTCAAAAAAGTAAAATACTTTATACTCATTCTTATACCACCACTTTTATACAATTATACCCATTAAATGTGAGAGACTATTTTTGTATGTGAATCCAAACATGTCCTGTTTTGTCTGCACATGGGATTCACGCACACAAAAATAGTCTCTCACATTGGTCATTGGTGGTATAAGGGCAAGTAGAAATAGTAGGATTGGTTCAGTTAAATCTAATTCTCTTTGATGGGAAAACTATAATTCCAATTCCGAAATAGATTCTATCAAATTCATTCACATTCCAAGTTCCAACAATAAAATATTGGAATGGGAAATCAATTCTGCGACACGTCATGAAACAGTAGAATTGGAGAAATATCTGGTCAGATTACTCACACAATGTCACATTCCCTCCCACTCAGATCCAGATAATATGCTTATATAGTTATATGCATGCCCAAAACATGGGGTCCACGGATCTAACTTCCCAACCCAGAAAAAAACTCTATAAAAGATTTCACAGAATGATAGATGATAGATAGCTTCATAGGAATCTTCCATACCATCCAATAACTTGTTTGCAATAGTTTTATATTGTGTTAAATACAAGCAACACCTACATATATAATAAAAACACCTAAAGTAAAACTACAATTTAAGTAAAAAGAATGTCGAATAATACAACAATGAAGTTTCAACAATAATATGGCAATGTAACATTGCCAAATAAAAAAAAATCAGAACTAAAGCTAATAAAGGCATCAAGAGAAGGTAGTGTACCGACCTAATCGAAAGCTCATAATGCAACCAACAGTCACAATTGGCCCCGCAACTAACAAAAACTCCCTCTTAAAACTTCCATCTATTATCACAATTTGCACATGTGACGAAAGTAGTCATCGGTTCATCAGCACTCCTTGTTTGCAACTGGTAATAGTTGCACTCCCTCTTCCCACACTTCCCGCACTTGAAAGCATTTGTGCTCGCCACAGAGGGCCCACTTCTCTGGCTGTTAAACAGCGCCTTCTCTTTTATTTTCTCATTCTGTTTCTTCCTTGCGTCGCTCGCCATATCATCCGGCGTCAGTTCGGGAATTGTGTGAGGTGGAAATATGCCAAGAAGGACTTTCCGGCGGAAGTCGGGGTTATTTCCGTCTGTTATGTTGAACTTTATTGATCTGTACTTCATTCTGTTAGAGCCCTTCGCGCTGCCCCACTTCTCATATAGTGCAGTCTCCACCTGGACAGCGACTCTGTAAGGATCGCAGGCCTTGACTTCAGCTATAATGTCAGGATTATCGCCCACCTCATCAACAACTTTGCATAATGCCTTTGATATGGCTTCTCGCAACTGGTCCCTGTCAGCATCTTTGGTGTAAATGAGGGCGGAGAGTTTTGGTGGAGCAGGGTTTTCAGGTTTTTTCGAGAGTGACGGGTTTGTCCTCTCGGGCTTTGCAGGAGGGATTTTCGGTAATTTCTCGGGCACAGGAGAGTTTGGCATGGCAATGGAAGGTTCAAGTTTATCGAGTTTGGTGGTTTTTGGTTGATATTTCTTGTTATTAGCTTCTTCAGGACTGCCAATGGCAGGTCCAGGTTGATCGTTTACAGAATTTCCAGATTTCTTGTTTTTCATGGTTTCTCTTACTATTATTTGCTTCCAAACCTCAACTATATCAGCAGCAAAAGACTTGATCCTCTTCCTTGGGTGTTTTGTTAGTTTCCTGAGACTTTTCCCAACCTGAAATCATTTGAATAATAATAGTAATCATAATTAATATGGTATATATTTATTTTTCTAAAATATAAACCAACAAGAGTACATGAGCCACAGAGAGTATGTCTTACAGAAATGAAAAAAGAGCCAAAACAAGTAGAGGGTATGTATTTTGCTTCATAAGCACATGCATATATCATGAAATACCCAGACGTCTAAAAATACATCCACCAACCCAAGAAAAGAAACATCTTTTAAAATATATCTTGTCAAAAAAAAGCAATATTTCACCAAATAAAAATAGATTCATATTATAAATTTCTAAAAATAATTGCAAACAAGTTAAAGATTTAAGTTTAATCAACCATACCTGATACTACCTCCTTCCCAAATTGATTTGCAAATTTGACTTTTCTTTGTCAAACAGTTTTGTTTTGTTCGCTTAATTAGGATGTCAATTTTTAATTATATTCTAATTTGATGTCAACAACTTTGAAGAGATTTTAATGTAGTTTATGAATATGTAAATTTTAATTATTAAAAACTGAGTTAATTATCCGTAAATAGGGTTGACTTTTACTATTGGTTGACAAAAAAATGTTGACTTTGCAAAACAAATTGGGACGGAGGGAGTATAGTTTTAACAAGGTTCTAAGACTATTGAGAGTTTTACTTTCAGAAATTAAAGTGTAATACCTTGAGATAACTGAACTGTATTTGACATTGAAGCATAGTACCTTACGCAATGAAGCATATCCAAGTGAAACAAATCCAGGCTTTTTATTAAAATTATCATGTCTTCTGATAGCGACCTAGATAATACTAGTAATAAGAATAATATTCGTCTTTTAATATTGTACAATGAAAGGGGTTTAGGCCCTATAACTAAATAGTAGTGGGCTGGCCCATTAGGAGAGTATTAGTAATAATGAGCAGGTAAGGGGAAAAGAGGTAGGCAGAAGTTGGGACTTGGGCTGGGATTTTTTGAGAGAGACAGGCTGATCTTGTATCATTTGATTCATTTCCTTTCAGTTTCTTCATTTACGTTTTTATAGGCATCAATCTCCCTCTTTTGATCTTGGTTTCTATCATTGGTATCAGAGCGAGGATGCCCGTGACCAGATCGAGGATGGAAAACCGGCTAGATAACGTGGAACGGAAAATGAACAACATGGAATGGAAAGTGGAGAAGGTATGATCACAAATGCAGGATATGCAATTGACAACGGGAGGGATGTGATCGCAATTGGAGGGGATGCAATTGAGTGTGGATGAGTGCGCCAGATCATACTCTACCAAGGTCGCCGGAGACCTAGAGGCCGGTCGAGAAACCCTAGGCATCATCGGAAGCCTAAAAGCCAGGGTTCAACTTCATTGCAAACAGCTTCCCCGTGTTTGCAAACTTCGATGCAATCTGAAGATCCCCGTTCGCATGCTTCGTCACTCACCAATCCTCACCTATCGTCATCGCCCCGCTCGCAATTGTCGCTAGACAATTCTCACAGTTTGCAGACTGTGTCACAATCAGAAGTCCCCAGTTCGCAGTTGCTCGTCTATCCTCACACTTAGCAGACCTCGTTGCAATCAGTTGTTCTGAGTTCGCAGACCTCGTTGCAATCAGTTGTTCTAAGTTCGCAGGACTGGTCGCCATCGGCTTCTCATAATCCACAAGTTCCATAGCTCGGTTAGGAGCCTGTTAGCTGGCGGCAACCTTCCTCTGAGGATGCGTTCACTGATGGCTATGATGAAAGCGAGGGTAGAATTCAGCCAGTAAGTTCTGAAAATGGTAATGATATGAATGCTTCACATGATCAAAATCTTCCCCACACTGTTGAGATAAAGCTACAGCCAAACACAGAGGTTGCAGGAGTGCGAAATATGAGGTTGTTTGGACTTATTTCTGCCAGACTGTTGGGAAGGCCACAAGACGGAAAATCAGTCTGATAGCATTGTTGACTTGCAACGATCCTCTGGAGGTAGAAGGTTTCCTGTTATTCTGTTGTGTTGCTCTGCTTAGAAATTAAATACCAGTTCTGGATGTGACCTTTATGTCTATGGTGGGAGTGAAATTGGATTTGAAGAAGTTTTGATGATCCCTAAACTTGTATGGTCATCTGGGCTCACAAAATTGAAAAGCATTGATAAAGTACAGTAAGTAGACCTTAAACTTCATGGATCATTTGGAGATATTATTAGAGTACTGATTGTTTTTGATGTGGAAAGCAGTGATCTCAATTCCTTTTTCATGCTGACAACCCCTAAGCAGTTGCATTTTCATGAGAACAATTACTGGTCTACCTGAAAATCTGAGCAAGAGAACAATCATTATGTTCTCCAGGGAACAGCATCACTCTCCCTGAAGTGAATCTACATAAACCTGGTTGTGGACAGCTTTGTTCAAAAGGGATGATGAAGGGTCAAGTAATGAAGATCATGATCCAATAACCAGGGAGGTACAGGGAAGGAGGAGGCGTGAGGATGAAGCCGAATGGCATGGCTGCTTCTTACTTCCCCACCTTGAAGACAACATGGTTGTCAAGAGGGGAGTGATGATAGGGACCTAGATAGTACTAGTAATAAGAATAATATAGTCTTTTAACATTGTACAATAAGAGGGGTTTAGGCCCTATAACTAAATAGAAGTGGACTGCCCATTAGTAGAGTATTATAAATAATGAGCAGGTAAGGGGAAAAGAGGTAGGCAGAACTTGGGACTTGGGCTGGGATATTTTGGGAGAGACAGGCTGATCTTGTATCGTTTCCTTAATCCCTTTCAGTTTCTTCATTTATGTTCTTAATAGACATCAATTTCCCTCTCTCGATCTTGGTTTCTATCATCTTCACTCTTCAGCAAAAGTTGAACCTTTTTACTAGGTATATAGCTTTTTAATAAAAATGTTCATTCTAAGCAGACACACACAGGGGCATAATCCAAAGGTACGTTTACGTTGAGGATCAAGTAAATTAACAAGACAAATGCAATTGAGCTGGTAAAAAATCGAGTTCCAAGCATGTAGCTCTTGAAAATTCCTTATGTGGAAAATACTTGAGAGAGAGCGCATGGTCACATTACCAAAATGCCATCACATATAGTTCAGGTGTTTCTCCCCACATCCCAAAAAGAATAAAAAAGAAGCAAGCATTAATAAACATTCTTTTAAAAAACTACTTCCTCCGTCCCTTATTACTTTGCCAAGTTTGACCGGCACAAGGATTAATACATTAAAAACTGTGTGGTTGAGATTTGTGCAAAGGAAAGAGAATTAACTAGAACCACAAATTCTTTACTTAAAAGGGAAAGTGACAAAGTTAGTGTGACATCTAAAAAAGAAAGTTGGCGAGTTTTAAGGACGGAGGGAGTACTCCGTAATATTTATGAAATTCCTTCCTAAGTATATAACTGTACTTTGTATATATGAGTTATATGGTTCAGGACTCGAATGACAGTTGTTCTGTCAATTCTGGGCCAGAAGATAAAACAGTAAATTAATTAATGACATCATTGAATGAAAAACATCAACCCAAGACTGAAAAATCATACGGAGTACTTTTTTAACTTACCAATTTTAATTTTTTAATAAATCCATGATTTACTTTCATATATAACCTGAAAAGGAATATTTGTTGAAGATGAGCATAAATATAACCCAGTAGTAAAAAAAGATTCAAAATTTTCTCTTTTTCTAATCTTCAAATGATAGTTTGAATCATTCTGGGTCATAAAAGGATAGCTTTCATCTTCCAGCTGATAGCTAACCTATTTTAGGATCCTCAATCGACAACACTCCTTGTATATAATACACACATTTCCGCACATAAGTGTATTGATGTCTGCACATATCATTTACAGAGTATTGTTTAGTAATACTAAATGATCGAAGGACATGCAAAAAGTGGTAACATTTTTTTGTATACCTGAGAAGAGACAAGGACACTATAATTAACAGGGAACTTTTTCAGCTGCCTCATAGCGTCAAGGCACCTCTCTTCCTCTGCATCTTTTCCTTCAACAGCGGCCGCATCTGCCGCCTTTCTGACCACCTCATACAGCTCAATCAGTTCCTTCTCCATTATTTCTTAGTCCTACAACACAGATTTCAACTAAATCAAAATCAATGAACAACTCTTGACCAGAAAAGGCAAACATTTTTAAGGGTTGGCTGCATAGTGCATAGCAAAGAATGGGGGGATGAAATCATATTCTGATGGCTGAAGTGCCTGTCAAATGCTCATATTTGCTTTCAAATTTAGTCTTTTGTAGAATCCAATAAATTGTACAGAACTCCAACCTAAGCAAAAATGATAGCAATCTAGTGGTTTCCATTTACAAATTCAAATTTTTTTAAGTTATTCTACTCATAGAATGGAGGGGTGAAGCTTTCATTCTATAAATTAAACTAAAAAAGTTCGAACTTTTCACATTAGCAATCCAGCATCTTTGCATATATTTTGTTTTGCCTAATTAATCATAATATATATACAGATTTTTCAATGTAGAAGATAATCCCAGCAACCCAACGTGTACATTCCATTCTAATTCTAATTACAGCTTATTACAACTCCTTAATTTAGAAAATTATTCATCTTTTAAATGAAAGAACAGATAAAGAACGAACCTCAACAACACCCTCTAAGCTTGATCGATTCACTGCTGATAAGATATAAAAAGATATGTAAGAACAAACAGAACAACATGCGATAAAATAAGAAGACAATTAGTAATAATCGACTAACCTCAGCATACTAGAGGAACGGCGTGGTGTAGACTGCGTCCGGCCTAAGGGGAAGAGGAGATGGAAAGGGCTGAGAGATGAACGGTAGAGAGAGATGGTAGATCGGATGAATTGGTATACCGGTAGTTGGGTTAGGTTATTCCAGATGGCATGTTATTTTTTAAATGGACCGGATCAAACACTTGGGCCAATAACTTTAAATCATTTAAATTAGCATATTTTAAATTGTATTTTAGAGGATGTATTGGGGATGTATTGTATTAACAATTAGTGGCAAAAAGCTTCTCTTCATACGTTGTCTCTCGCTTCTCTCTAGGGCTTCGGCCGCTGGGAGTTTTTTTCCATCTTCGATTTTAATCGAATGACGGCCGCTTTTTCCGTCTTCGATTTTAATCGAAGGACGGCCGCTATTTCCGTCTTCGATTTTAATCGAAAGACGGCTGCTGTTGTTTGTGCTTCATACTCGAAGTGCGGATTTGTTGTCATGGCTCGAGGAGATCGGCGTTGTGGTCAAGGTTCGAGGATGATGTATTGTTGTCGTCGTTGGAGAAGATCGGCGCCGCCTATCCGTTTACTCTGGTTGCATGAAGCAAGGATGAGTTTGGTTATGCAGGGACGGGGGATTGATGCATGGCCTTTGGCAGACAAAGGTCACGGAGTATCAATTAGCATGGTACCGGTGGTAAGACCTCCTCCTGAACCACCACCATGGGATGTACGAGGTGCTAGAGTTCGTGAACGCTTTTCTTGTAGTTTTTATCTGTTTGTTATTTGTTTTCTTGTGTCCACTTTTTGTTGTTGGTTTTGACAGTTTGTTTGAGTTTTTTTCCTCTCTTTATGTCATTGGGTATGGTTGGATCTATGGGAATAAGTTTGGCTGTGTCAAGCCCACTACATGGTTAGCGATTCGTGTTGCTCTCTCAGGGGTGACCGTCTCAAAGTCTCACCATAGGGTTACAGACGTAGTTGTTGAAGTTTCAGTTGGTGTCAGTTTTATTTTCCTTTTGCTTGATGTAATGATCCTGAATCTTTTGATACGAATAGAGGCCCGTTTGATGATATATAAAAAAATTAGTGGCAAAAAAATTATGAATTTTAAAAAATTAGTTGTATTCAATGTGGACTTTTAAAAGTCTACATAAGACTAGGGGTGTTTGGTTAATAGCCTATCAGTCATTTTTTGACTGATTTGACTATTTTAAAGTTGTTTGATCACATGAATCAGTTGTTAGTGTGTTTGGTAAAACAACTTTTCCATTTAACCTTTTGGATCAAAAAGTCAAAATACAAAACGCTACAACTCTTAGCGTTTAGCAAACAGTCGATCAATTTATTTTCCATTTTCCCTACTCTGCCCACACCTGCTACGCCATTCATATTTTTTTTTTGAAAGTTACGCCATTCATATTCTACGTACAGAAATAACTAAATTATATCTTCATTTCCATTATAGATTTTAAGGGTGCAGCCATGCAGGATGCAAGGACTTAACTTTACTTCACCTGCAATTATTGCATTCACTTTGATTATATAATGTTGCTAAGAATTATTACTTGTGTTGATAGAACTAAATGTGACTAATCTTGTTTTAATTCCCAAAAAAGAAAAATCTGAGGATATGGGGGACTCAGGACTGGAGGCCCATTGCGCTCTACTATGTGGTGTATAATTTTTTTTTCAAAATCTTGGCGAACAGAATGAAAGGCATATTGGGAAATCTTATTGGAGAGAACCAGAGCGCATTTGTCCCGGGGAGGTCAATTGTTGATAATGTTGTTATTGCCTTTGAAACCCAACACTTTTTTAAACGAAAAAGTAATGGTAAAGAGGGGTATGTTGCTCTAAAGCTCGATATGAGCAAGGCGTATGATAGAGTGGGTTGGGAATTTTTGCATGAGATTGTGAGCCATATGGGGTTTGATCGGAGATGGGTGAACATGATCATGGAATTTGTGACGACTGCCAGCTATTATGTACAATATGAGCAGGAATTTTTGGGCCCTATCATACCTGGGCGAGGTATGAGGCACGGTGATCCCTTGTCCTCTTATCTGTTTATTATGGTGGCAGAAGGCCAAAGCGCCTTGTTAAAAAGGGCGGAGCTCGGGGAGTATTCATGGGGTAGCGGTTTGTAGAGGTCCCCCCCCCCCCCCCCCCCCGAGTATCTCACCTTTTATTTGCAGATGACAGTTTCCTATTTTTTAAGGTGACAAATGAGGAGGCAGCGGTGGTTAAAAATATTTTATCTATTTATGAGGATAATTCGGGACTGGTTGTAAATTATGTGATGTCAGCCTTGTCTTTCAGCCAGAATGTTGGAGAACAATTTAAGGAGGCTGTTGCAGGCTTCTTGGGATCCCGAGGGAAGGGGGTCAAAGCCGGTATCTAGGCCTACCAGCGCTAGTGGGGAGAAATAAGCTATCTGAAAGATAAAATATTTAGCAGAATAAAGAGCCGGAACAATAGATTTCTTTCTATAGCATGTAGAGCGGTTCTGCTAAAAATGTTGTTCAAGTTATGCCTAATTATGCCATGAATGTGTTTCTCTTGCCTAATAAGTTATGTGATGAGATTGAGAAATTGATGAATGGTTTCTGGTGGAGGGGCACTAAATTTGAGCAGAAGGGCTTGAGGTGGAGGAAATGGGAGGTTCTGTGCAAACCAAAATATTCTGGGGGTTTGGGCTTCCTTAAAATAAAAGAGTTTAACCTGGCGATGCTAGCCAAGCAAGGGTGGAAGCTAGTGACGGAGCCTTCCAGTATGATGTGTCGTGTGCTGAAGGCCAAGTATTTTCCAAACTCAGATTTTTTACAGGCTCAGGTGGGTAATAAACTCTCCTTTATTTGGCGTAGTATTTTTGAGACACAATATGTGCTAAAAAATAATATCAAAAGGAGAATAGGGAATGACATTGATGTTCAGGTATGGGCTGATGCTTGGCTTCCGGGGGAAGGGTCATGAAAAATTACTCCGGCTAGACCGTCTGGGATTAGATATATGAATGTTGCGGCTCTTCGCAACATCACCGGTAAGAAGTGGAATAGAGAACGAATTGCCAACATTTTTAATGAAGAGGATAGGAGGAAGATTTTGGGAATCCATATTAGTGTTCAGGACAGGAGGGGATGTGTACTGGTCAAAAGGGGAGAATAGTGGTATATTCTTTGTTAAGAGTTGTTACCGCCTTCTTATAGGAGAGATACCTGCAGGTGACGGGACTCACTGGGCTCGACTGTGGGACCTTTACATCCCATCGAAGCTTAATTTTTTGTTTGGCAAGTGATTAATGGCTCTCTCCCTATGTGGATAATTTGTGGGAAAAAGGAGTACGAGTGCAAGAGTGCAAGAGTGCAAGGTGTGTGGAGGAGAGGAAGAGACGCTAAATCATGTGTTTCGGTTTTGTGACCGAGCTAAGGAGGTCTGGAGGCAGGTGGGTTTCAGTTTAGGGCAGCCCGCGGATCCTATTGATACATGGATTTGGCAGCATTTGGAAGGCGCAAATGAGGAAGAGCGGTGTAGATTCATATCCATTCTATGGAGCATTTGGAAGAGAATGAATGGGTGTGTATGTAAAGACAAATGGCAAGGTACATCGAGGGTACTATACTCAATACAGAGGCGAGCAGGACACCGGCCAAAAGGAGCAGGGAAGGAAAGAAAGTAGCTCGTTGACAGCTTGGAAAAGTCCGACACATGGTTTTGTTAAAATAAATGTGGATAGGGCGGTGGATGAGGAAAAAAATATTCGGGCTTGGGGTGGGTAGCTCGGGATCACCGAGTTCATCAAAGCTAAAGGAGCTTCCGAGCTAGCTAGCTGGTCGGTGGTGGAAACCGATGCATTGGGAGTCCATGATGCCATTGTGGGTGCGGCCGAAGGAGGATGGACACATGTGGAGATTGAGACAGATGCCCTCTAAGTGGTTCAGGGTCTCAAAAATGGGGGATATGATGATATTAGAAGTTTTTTTACAAATAAAGAGTAATTTTGTTGTCTCTTTTTGTAAGTGATCTGCGAATCAGGTTGCTCATGCGTTAGCTAGAGCACATGTCACCATCTCAGATCAGTCTTGTTATTATGATCTCATACCTGACTCTCTTGTAAGCCTTTTGGCGCATGATTTGGTGAATTAATATATCTGCTAGTTGGAGTTCAAAAAAAGAATCTATTTTTTATATAAAAAAATGGTTTAACTAGTTGACTAGTTTTTGGACGTCTAGTTGTATGCATAAAATTAACTAAATGTGTGATGCGTATTAAAACAATATGTAGTAAGTAAATTAAGTAGTAAATTTGATGTCCTTAAAAGTCATCTAATCAAACATTACTTTACAAACTGCTAATATTATCAGCTGATAAAAACAACCAACTGAATCTGCTATCTGCAATCAGCTAACACAACCGGCCAACAACCAACGGCTAACAGACAATTGCCAAACACCCCCTGGGCGTATTCAATATAGACTTTTAAAAATCTATAAAAGTCTAGGCGTATTCAAATTTTCGTTATTCTTATGGATTTCTAAAACCACAGATTCTCATGGTCTTTTAACTCATACTATGTATTTAGTACACTAATTCTCTTCTTTTCACCAAAGTTTTCCTGGACTTTTATAGTCGTCTTCTACACATCACAAGTACGCATAGATCTGATTGCAGATTTTAGTCGGGATCACAAGCCGGCCAACAAGTCCTGGATTAGTACCGGTACCAGCCGGGATGGAAGGTGAGTACCGAGATGGTCTCAAATTGCAAGATTTGAACATTGAACTTTTATTTTTTTCTCATTTTATGATATATAAAGTTGAACAAGGAATTTCTACATTAATACTGATGCACAAGATAAAATTATCTTTTCAATTTAAATTAAATAAATAAAAAATGATATTTTATATGTCGTTTTACGGGAAAAAAATGTAGGGGTGAGATCGCTTCAGTTCTTGAACCGTTAATCCCATATCGATTCGGTTTTATAAGTTTTTATAAGAACTGATATAAGAATCAATAGTATTAAATCGGTGTAATTCTGGTACGCTGTCAGTTAATCATTAAGGAAAAAAATTAACTATTAATGTGATTCATCGTTAAACTGCTAAAACATAAAAATATAATTTCAAATTACTAAATATTTAACCGTAAATAAGTATACAAATTTA